AAAAAATCTTGTGATTTATCTGTGGTGCATGCATAAACTTGCATTTGACATGTTCCAGCAATCACCCAGCACACCTCCATCATACTCACCCAGGAACCCACCCCTGTATTCAACTCCGGTCCAGCTCTGTCTACACAAGCGACATCATCCCAGGACCTAACCACATAAACCAATGTTTCTCAACCTTTTTTTAATAAAGTACCCCTTTAAAAAAATAATTATAAGTACTCCCAGTACCTACAGTTTTCAGACACACACAATTTTTTTCTACCATTGCAACATATTTGTTTAAACAACTTGATCGTAGTCAGGCAGGCCATGACATTTTTGGGAATGAAAAGTACAAAAATAATAAATTGCTGTAAAACTTAAATAAAAAATTTAGTTTTTTCCAAATTTCAGTTGTGTTGACGTACCCCCCCAGATTTCTCGCAAGTACCCCTAAGGGTACTCGTACTACTGGTTGGGAAACAGACCTAAACCACCACATCAGAGGCTCATATAACTGCACATCCACCAATGTGATCTATGCCATCAAGTGCCAGCCGTGCCCCTCTGCCTTGTTGTGATCTATGCCATCAAGTGCCAGCCATGCCCCTCTGCCTTATGGGGGCCTGCATATGCTATGGGGGCCCGCAAGGTTCTATCTTGTCCCCTATGCTGTTTAATATCTACATGAAGCCGCTGGGAGAGGTCATAAGGAGTTTTGGAGGACAGTGCCATCAATATGCAGATGACACCCAACTCTATTTCCCTGTGACATTAGAACCAGGTGTGGTGGTGACTGATCTAAATCGATGTCTGGAGGCAGTGATGATTGGGATGAAGTCACACAAGCTGAAATTGAATCCAGATAAGACTGAGGTGCTGTGGATCAGGAGGCCATTTGTTCGGGAATGTGGCACGGCACCTGTTCTAGACGGGGTTACTCTCCCCCTGAAGGAACAGGTACACCGCTTGGGAGTCCTCTTGGACCCTTGTTTAACATTTGAAAATCAGATTCTTTCAGTGGCCGGGAGTGCTTTTGGGCAACTGCGTTTGATCTGCCAGCTGCGACCCTTCCTGAACAAACATGACGTGGCCACAGTGATCCATGCGCTTGCTACATCCCGACTGGATTACTGTCATGCACTTTATGTGGGGCTGCCTCTAAAGAGCCTTCAGAAACTTCAGCTGGTCCAGAATGCGGCTGCTCGAGTTTTAACCAATACTAGTTATGCGGAGCACATTATGCCAGGGCTTCGGCAGCTGCCCTGGCTTCCGGTATGTTTCCGGGCACTATGTAAGGTTTTAGTTATGACCTATGAAGCCTTAAATGAGTTGGGTCCAGGGTATCTGAAGGACCGTCCTCTCCCATATGAACCTGCCCGGGGATTGAGGTCAGCGGGGGAGGCTTTGCTTCGTGTTCCCCCACTTGTGGAGATAAGATTAACATCTACACGGAACAGGGCATTCTCAGCTTTTGCTCCCAGGCTGTGGAATTTTCTTCCTTAGGATAGTAGCATGGTGCCTACGCTAGCGTTGTTCCGGCGTCAGGTGAAAGCCACCCTTTTTACTTGCGCTTTTATTAACGTTTGAGTCTGTATGTGTGTGTTCCTCTTCTTTATGTTTTTAGCAGGTTTTATGTCCCTCTGGGGTCTCGTATTTTAAATGTTTATATATATATATATGTGTGTGTATTGTGTTTAAACATTTTTTGTAAGCCGCTTTGAATATTTTAAATAGAGAGGCGGGGTAAAAATATTTACATAAATAAAATAAATATTGGCCAAACTGGACAGTCTCTACAACAAAGGATGAATGGACACAAATCAGATATTCAAAAAGGTAACACACACAAACCTGTTGGGCACTCACTAATGGATCTAAAAGTTAGCATATTGTTACAAGCCAATTTAAAATACCACTTTGAAAGGAAAGCTGCAGAACTTAATTTCATTTACCAATTTGATACGTTCAATAGAGGTTTAAACAAAGACCTTAACTGGATTACCCGCTACATTCCACATCCTAATGAGCTGTAAAGCCAAGCACCGGGTACTTAAGAGTGCTTAGAATCCAATCTATCAGCTTCATTTAACGCGGACACTCTAATTTAAAATACCACTTTGAAAGGAAAGCTGCAGAACTTAATTTCATTTACCAATTTGATACGTTCAATAGAGGTTTAAACAAAGACCTTAACTGGATTACCCGCTACATTCCACATCCTAATGAGCTGTAAAGCCAAGCACCGGGTACTTAAGAGTGCTTAGAATCCAATCTATCAGCTTCATTTAACGCGGACACTCTA